GCGACTGTTCGACTTTAGCCATCTGTGTAAGCGACTGTCAATGTGATGCAAATGCCATAGTGCCATTACTTCATAATGGATAACTCCGTAACTTCATATTTCACAAAATACATTGCCAAAAATTAAATGATTACTTTTTTATTACATATAAGTGCACATTTGACCTCCATCACACCTGATAAAAAGTGACGATGAGGTCGATGATGGAGCATGTACACCTAAATAATACCTATTCACTCTCGCCTTAAAAAGGCCCAAGTTATAACGTTCGACATATAGATGTGAAAACGTAACTTCCTTGGAATATGTACAACATAGGCGTGGAACCAAAGCCTACGTCTAGTCCCCCGGTGATGAAAAGGGGTAGGTAGAATTAATTCGTGCATTTCCGTCCATCGCACACTTTGCGTAATATATCCTGTAGAAAACGGATAAGCAGGCAACTTTACTGCGGTGTTCAATGCTCTGCAGCTTTGCCTAAGTCCGAGTTACCTATAAGTCGCTTCGTAGTAATTGAATAGGAGTTTTCTTTCACATATATGTTGAAGGGAATTAGCAACAAACAAATTTACTATGTGGGAAAATTTCTGTATAACAAATAACTATACTGCCATCGCAAAACCGGAGCTACTAAGACGGATCCTTTTTTAGAAGCAAAAAGGTCCAACTATACTTTACCTAACGAAACTAATTCACCATTTGCAAAAAACATTTTTCCGTAAATCATTGGTAATTTGGAAGTAAAATCACCTCCTTTGTTATCATGCGTATATGTGATCACCAGTTGAAATACAGTCACCACCTTTTTATCACATTCTATAGTCATATCGTAGATAAAAAAATCTCATATCGAAAATGACAAGCGACACATACTATATTAATATGATTTCAAATGACGTCACGAACAAGTCGTGCGACTGGTGATAAGTGACACGCCTGTCCATAACAGTTGCAGTGCCACTTAGAGCTTTAAATCGCATAGGTCTGAGAGACACTGCCTCTGCGTCTGTTGATAAGCCCCATATGCCTGTAGTTTCACACATTAAAATCCCAACGCAGTATTGGCCGCATTACTATTTGGTAGCAAAAATAGATAAGGTGGCAGTATTTCCCTAGACAAACTCTTGCACAACGAGCTCTACAGCTACTAAATTTGTATGAGGTCGTATGCACTAATTTACTATCACTTTAATCTCTACTTTAACAAGTGTGTTAATCTATATTATATGTAATAGTAATATATCTACAAAATATTCAACTACACAACTACTTAATACTAGTAAAATATACAAATTTACATTTCGATAGTTTTACAGAAAGGTATATTTTAACATGGACCTGCGGTTCCACAAGGTACCATTCTAGCTCCTTTTATGTTCTTAGTTTATAATAATTAACATTCAGATACATAGACTGAACTAATTCATTGTATTTATTTATGTTGTGATAAATGGAACTTGGGTTATGGTAATAAATAACAAAGTATATAGATAATGTTACAAAGATTAAACATCTTTGTAAGCTAGGTATTCACGAGCGCACTCCGGAACATAACGGGGAAGAATGACCTTGCAACTAGCACGCACCATTAACATGTTTTTTTAATATCGAGTATAAATTAGTCTAGATAGAAACAAACTAAATCAAAATTTAAATATTCAAAGATTTCGAATTAAATATATCCATGCTAGGTCGCTAGCATTATTCTATTATAACAAGTCTGTTATCCAATGTTGGTGTGATTGGTGTGATTTTTCTGATATATTTTTCTAAAAGTTCTGCGTCGTTTCCAATTACAATCGGATCATATCCGTGCTCCTTTAACACCTGTAAAACCCAACAATAATCACTTAACTTCTTTTCCTCTCCCCATTGACTTACAAATTGTAAGTCAATGCTCCTCCCTCTGTCTCTCTGCCTCTTTCTCATATTGTAAATGTTTTCTTTAGTATTTGTTTTCATGATTTAAATTAAATCTCTTTAATGAAATCTCTAATGGAATCCACCGCACAGACCATATACAATTAGGTCAGCGTGGTTTCAACCCTTTGGATAGACCTACCTTGAATCCATTACCTCCCTGTAGCAAAAACTTCAGGGTACTAATTTGGTACTCTTTGTCATTGTCTAAAGGCTCAAATTCATCACCAACTTTCACCAAGATAGAGTCCACTTTAGCTGACGTCGTGTTTAAAGTTAGTTTCATTCCTAAAAATTTTAAAAAATAAAAATAAAATTCATTGCAAATGCAAAATTCATTCTTTATTGCACTCTAAGACATTTCTAATAATGCGGCCAAAACAATGTGCAAAAAATGTTGAATAATCTAATAATAGTACGTAAGTATTTCTATTGTATAAGTCGATTATCTGTTAAACAGGTATTCTATAAAAAATAATAATACTATTGTTTACCAGAAATATGCGGCATAAATGGCCCATTGAAAGGTTTTTTGATCCAGTACGTCGTCATACAAATCTCTAATGCCTCCACAAGATATTTGCCGAGCAACTTAAATGAAACCACCTTGTTTGTGAATGGTAGAGTGTTTATTATCGAACCTCGGGTTATGTCTGAAATAAAATAAAATATTTTGTTGAAAATCATGATGCTTTTACCACTATGATATATATTTTTTAAGAAGATACTCTACTAGTTTGTCATTAATATCGATACAAAAGTCGAACCAACATAAAGAAAAATTCTATCTGTCTGATTAAATTCAAACCAGCGCTGTTTGCCGAATCGGGGCTACCTCTCTCTCTCTTACCATAAAAAAAAATAAAGAAAAACTTATAACAATAAGTAACTTTGATCTATTCTAAGTGATTCTTGTAGATAATAAACGTAATTTGTTCTTACGTAATCACTCATTAGTATGTCCAACATAATATTATATGATTAAACTAAACGTCGTATGGAGCTGTGATTTAAAATCACATTAAATAAAGGTTACAAAAACAGGCACACTCAAAAAGAAAAAATATTCTTAGGTTCGTATTAATATATAGCTCGGTGATACATTACAGACTTTAAGTGCAAAAACAATTAAAAATAACTTAACAATGAAATTTATACACAAAAACATTGACGTATCATATATCATGCATTCTTTTATTTCTCCATAGAGGACAAAATGCTTATTGAAATAGTATAACTATTAAGAGCTCTGCAAATGTGCTCGTTTTCTGTAAATTTTTGCTAATGCAAGTTAAATGCTGTTTTTTACACTGACACTTTGCAGTTCACTGCTTTTGGTCTCGACTGCGCCACCGGACAAAGAGGCGAACCGAAGCCTCTTAATCCGTAAATACTGTTTCACTGGATATTATTATAGCGTATTGACTACATCGATCGACTCAGATCTTGAGCCTCATCTTAAGCAGTATTTAAAGTTTAATCCGATAACATAAGCATCTTAAATAATACCAACTCCAGTGACAAAGAACCTGTGCTTAATTTATAAGGCCTTAATAATGATCTTGACCTGTTTATTGAAGTCACTCATCACAGTTCTGGTTCAACAATTGTTGAACCAGAACGTTGACAACTCTCAAATAGTGTTAAATAATCGTTGATATCCACTTAATTACGTGGTTGCGTCCATTAACAAGGACAGGTACTTAATATCGATCATACACAAGATATTATTACAGATTAAGCACTAATTACATATATTTAGTAAAGAAAGTAAAAGTAATATAGTCACCTCCTTTGGGAATCGAGCCTCTAATCATATTCCTCATTAAAAATGACACTAGTGGCAATTTATTAAGTTTCATCTCCAGTGTCTGCAAGTGAAGAGATAAACTGTTTAGCCTCTATCAAAAAACCATATCTGCTATGTTGGTTTGAAAAAAAGGAAATCAAAAAGATAACATAAACCCAATAAGATTTGCAGACAGTGTACACTTAATATCACACCAATTATGCCCCAATCGGTTTCGGTATTTTCGATGACTGACAAATATAATGAAGCTCCCTCCTAGTATCCGAAGAATGTAAATCAATACATTCCTGTCTTTTGATGTCAGGGGCTAAAATCAATTATCAGTCCAGGCAATAAGTGAGTCCATAATGGTGAGCTGCAGGAAAAATTAAATGCCCATGGTCCACTGAAGAGAACATAGGTGAAGTACGGGAAGAAAAAATTGCCCGTCGTCCACTGAGATGAAACAGTCAAATGATTTGTGGGCTAGGAGCGGTCGTGTGTCCCTTTGACATGAATAAACGCAACTTACAATTTTGAAAAAGTTCTATTCAGAGTTCATGTTACAGTGTATATCAGCATTTCCGTCCAAATTGTATATTACAAGCAATAGTATTATAGAGATTGATGTTTAAATCCGCCAAGACACGAATATAGTTATCATCAGGTCGATAGGTTTAGGGGATGGAAAAACGATTTGATATCTCCAGCTGTTATTGCTCAAACAATTTGCGCTGGCTACTCCAGTTTGAGTCTGTGCAGTATTTCAATTTTGACTTTTCGACAGAGACATGCTAGCAAACTAAAAAAGGCTTAAAAACCCAGTAAATATAAAACCAAAATGTGCAAAAAGGGCTGTATTTGAAATGATTTCTTACCAACTTCGTAATTTTTTCCTATTTATTATAACAGTACCTATCTGGAAACTTATTAACACACATGATTTAGTATTCAAGGATTTACGGTAGTCCACATGGCCCTTCCATCGCTAATTCGGTCTTTTTATCGATTTTACTCACAGCATTAACATAAGCATCAGCAGCCAAATCTCCCAGTGCGCATTCACCTGCACCACACTGCTTATCAACGAAGTTCTCGTTGGCATAGCCAACTACCTCATGCACTTTGATGTGGAGCTCTTGCTTATATGGCTCTAAGAGGGTTTTTATTTCTGGGTCTGAGAAATACAAAGTAATATATAATGAATAAAACAAAAAACAAGACATCGGCATTGATTTAAAAAAGCCATTGTAAAAATGTACGGATTTGGGTAAAAGGAAAATTTACTATCTAATAGTTATGATTTAACAGGGTCCACGATATCCATGAAAAGCCATGTTAAAAGTAGGTACCCAGAATTTACAAGCATCTAAACTACACATGCGTGTAGAAGAAATAAGCAGCATCCAATTAGGAAGTGGAGAACCTCTGACCATTTCGTTGAGAGATAGCCTATATTCTTTTTAGCAAGTAATCCTATAATCTATACAGCAAAACCTTATCATGGGTAAATTTTCTTTATGCCCTTCATGCTTATGATTTTACCTTCAGGAATAGACCTGTTAAGGAACACTGGTTGTCCCGAGTAATCCTGCAATTCTCCAGCATTATCGAAGTATACAGTCAAGTTACCTAAGTATTTGGTAAATGCTGAAGCCGTCACAATCAGTACCTAAAAAAAGATTAATAAGCACATAAATTCTACCTTATCAGTTTATATTGTATATCACGTTTGTATAAGTACAACCTACGTCGCCCAGAGCCATATTGTGAATTACAAGAAAAACCATTCGACCTCGGTTATCGAATTTTTCTTCACCATCTCAAGCTTGTTTTTAATATCCTCTTTGTCTATTGGTCGCAGAACGTAAAAACGTAAACATCTACTCTTTCTGCACGTTGCGTTGTTATTATAAATAATCGGCTCCAAAAATTAGGGCCCTTAATATACAGGAACTTTTGAGCTTGCCTGTACAACCACTTATGAGAAGCCCAAGTAAAAATAGACCACAATTGAGATTAAATCCGATTCCCACGACCAACAATAGTAAACCGTTCACACTTGATGGGTAACGTTCCACGCAAGACTTGATTTTTTGTAGGTGACGATGCAAAGATGCAGAAGTAGCACTTTTCAGATAGTCTATACATTAGAATTACACAACAAAGATACTAACTATCTTATGCACCAGTGACAGGAACGAAATTTGTAAAAAACTAAAGTAATTTATTTTAAGTCAAGGCTGTACGCAATCAGGCTCGACAATTTATGTATAGGTGTAAAAATAACACAGTAAACTTTGCTACTTTCAATAATATGGAGGATTATTTGTACTGCTTTCTGTGTTTGTAACTACCGTGACAGCTTGCTTATTAGAAGTCTTCTTAATTTCCACTATCGTGTAATCCTATTTTACATTATACTTTTTTTTTCTTTCTTTTTCATTACAATTATTGTCATTAAAATTGACTTAATAACTATCATCGAGTTAATTATTGACTGACTTCTTAGATCTATGTGCACACCCATATAATGTTGTAGTTTTGTTTCGTCTGCTGAAGAGCATATAAGTACATTTATAATATACTTTCTAAATGTTTGTATACCTAATGTTTGATGGGACACAGAGAAATTGTATTTATTTTGTTACATGTCAACTTCTATAGAAACTGTGTTTCCGCGAATGAAAACCTAATAAGTCAAGTCCTAATAACCTTGTCACAGACGCTTGGGATATTATTTTTTTTGCGTTTAGATACACATAAATATCTAATTAGTATTACCTAAACAATTAAGTCACGCTGTTGATATGAAATTCTACTGCATACCGTCGTTTAAACATTGGAATATCTATTGCTCAATGATCATTGTTCATCAAAAATCAGAATCATTGCTGATTCAAAGAAATTAGATTGTCGATGTCATAGATTACATTATGTAGGCTTACCTTGTGTTCAGGCTTAGAATGCGATCCCATAATAACAGGATAAGGGCCAGAAATAACTTCTTTGCTGGGTGCATCTAATGCATTCCATAGTAAACTGTGACTATGACCACCTATTATTATGTCTATATGTTCTCCAACACTTCTTGCCATTTCTCTGAAATCAGGATAAACCAAGATCTAAATGGAAGCTGAATGAGTATTCTTCTTCCATATCATATTGTATTGTATAATTGCCACTTAATGTTATTTATTTAATACGTTTAACTTTTGATGGTTGATGCAATGAGTGTTCAAAGACTGACACTTATTCTTATTAAAATGTCAATTTCTACCTTAATATAAGTGATATAATATATTGGACAAGCATTGAAAATCAAATTCTTTTTGAGTCGATTGTCGTAACGGAAAACATCATTAAAATTCAACGAAAAATAAAATAATGCATGCATTCAGTAGTCAGAAGTTCGAAAGAAACTGCATATGATATCACGACTTTAATGGCTCAGTACAAGTTATTATCGATTGTTTACGTAGTACCTAATCGTTTTGCTAAAAATTACGAAGGATGCTCTCAACACAGAATTTATTATCATCGAGTTCTTACGAGTTTTCACGATTGCAACGCATTGGAAATGATTATTTTCTAATCTAAATTGCGTTAAAGATCAGGCCAGACAGACGCGGTATATCGGGCAAACCTCGAACATTACAAAACTTCCCGGGCCCGGAACGCTCCCGCTAACGATCCTATATTGTCAGAGCATTATTTAGTTTTTTCAAACAAACAACGATTCGAACTCTTTACAGGTCGCATGAACCAAACAAATATACGCGATATATATCCGAAAAAAAAAGTTACATTTCCAATCCAATCCAATGTACATATTTTCAACATATTTAAGCTGATAGAAAAAAATCCAAAAATTAAATACTCTATTAAGTTTGATATGTCTCTCCCTTTCAAAATATCATCAATTTTAGATGCTAGTTTATAAACTGACTGTTTTATAAGAAAATATAAGACACGGCTACCTCTTGCATTTAAATTGCCAATAAGTCGTCCATAAACTAAAACAGATTTGCATTATCTACTTTCTACTGTTCATATAAATGCAAATGCGGTAACTTTAAGCTTAAGTTATTGTGTTGAACGGTTTTGAATAAACTAAACAAACACTACACGTGAACGAAATACAGACTAAAACACCTGTGTCATATAAAATAAAGGATCAGTTTAATTTATAAAAGTACAAAAACAAAAACCATTCAAGAACACTACAACATAATAGGAAAATTTCAACTATAGCAGTTGTAGCAGAGTAGCATTACAATGATGTTCGTTTTACGTCACGTACTTTTTTTATAAAGGGCTTTTACAAAAGTCTTTTGTGATTAATGAAAGATTTGACTTACTTATCCACTTCGAGTCCACAATGTGAGAGCACAATGATAATATCTATTCCTTGTTCTGTCAGGAACTTAGCTTCTTTTTCCACTGATTTTATTGGATCTAAGAATATGACACCTTCTGAATTTGATGTAACCTGCAATTTACAACAATAATAACGATTTTTTAAATGTATTAAGATATTCAATAATTGGATAGATACCGCCAGTCTACACAATACTGGAAAGTCTAGAGAAGTTGTCTCCTTATGTCAGCCGTTTGGTCAGAACTGTCATCGTCTTCAATATGAAAGAAACTTGGTCTAATTTTACATTTCTGTCAGTCTAGCCAGTCAGTCTGCTGGAGACTAAACGCGAAAATAGCTTTAGTCCAAAAACTACAATCTTTAACAGATTTTATTTTTTAGATTTATCTAAAGACTTGGACATGAATACTTACGGCAGTATCTGGAGTTATAAGTCCAATGATTCCAATCTTTTTCCCATCTCGCTCAACTATAACGTGAGGCTTGAACAATCCCTTAAGCTTTGGTTCATTGCTGGCATCTATATTAGCTGCTACAACGGGTGCTTTGAGTGCCGCAAGGTACGGAGCTAGACCCACAATTCCATCATCAAACTCGTGGTTGCCAATAGCCTGAAATTTAAATTTCTTTTCTAGTTATTTTTATGGAGTTGATGGAGTTCATTGAAGAGAAAATAAGGTCAAGTTCCACTAAACTGGAAAAGGACTCTAAAGTACTACAATAGAATATGTATTTTACTGCTTTATGTATTGGCCAATTATTCACAACAGCATTACTTACATGGGCATCATTGGGCAACATATTAATAAACTTTTGTGTTATGTTCCATTTCAGCAGCGTATACCAGTAAGTACCCTGAAAGACGTCTCCGGCATTCAAAAGGAGCGCTTTCGGCTTCTCTTGCAACAAGGTCTTGATTTCCTGGTAAAGGCGAGCGAAACCTCCAACGCATTTTGTATCATTACTCTTACATACAGGGTAGGATATTGATGTTTCTTCAAATCTGAAACAAAGGGATATATCCAAATTTTAAGTTTTCATGATTATTACACATTGGAAATGAAACTATTTTTTCACGTCTATTTTGTTTTTCAAACAAACCAATCTAGCCAGAATCATTGGTTTATTGAAAACAAATGCCACACGATTTAGATCTGAAAAATATTGCTTCCTTATCAAAAAAGGGGATATTTTCAATAACCTTAGCGTCACATCTTTGGATTTGAGAAAATTGATAAATACCTAAGGTCATAGAAAATGCGCTCCAATTTGTATCCTTACTCAATGATATGCAGTACATGATTTAGAAACTAATTGTAAACCATCGCGGTCTGATGACAGTTACAGGGGCTCAATTAGTTCTAAATTGTCATACCAAAGGGCTCGACTTTATGTTAATGTTTTAAACACAATATAACTTTTTGTATTGATTCTAAACATCCATACGAATGATAATTGATAGTATATTTTAAAATATACCTATACATTTTTATTTTATTGTATTATGATTACAGAAAACAGATTACTACACTCATTGACTTACAATTATTTGGACGTCGGGTCCGCGCTAAAAAGTGTCCGAACTTATAGGGCATTAAAATCGTATACAGAGCGTCATTCACGCTTCAGTCTTCGTTTGTTCGACTGACAGCGAAGCAAGCAAAATTAGACAGTACTGCGATGACATTACAATTTAAATTCAACGTTTTAGCTTTTTCATATTCCTTTACATGTCACTACGTTTAAAAAGGTTGACTTGGGACATTTTTTCGTGGTTTTTGTATTAGACCCGTCGTCCATTTATTTGTAAGTCAATGACTACACTACTTTAAAACAATACAAAGGAAAAAGACCAGTAAATCCGCATTTCAATGACAACTGTACCAGCATTCAGAAACAAGAACATACAAATTGTGTGATTTTGTAAATGGAAAAAAGAAAGCAAAAACAAAATAAAGGTACCTATTTTAAATATAAAACTAAAATATATAAAGTATATATAGCCATCTTAAAGTTCAAGTTAAATCGAAATTTAACAAATATACATGTACGTGTACATAAACATACAACTTTTAGTAATTTCTTGTATATGAGACAAGCCATAGCAACGTTACTATGGTATGATGATATGAAATCTACTTGATGTGTCATGTCACTAGTACTATATAGTATGATAATGTGCGATGGGGCATTGTAGGTAGTATGGATAGAAGACACGCATGCACACACAGTCCCATACAGACCTACACACACACACACGCACATGCACACGCACACTTACATACTCAATATGTACGCACACTTACATCATACACATATACACAGACATGCACTCACACACTCTAACACATAGGTTAATCTATTTTTAGTCTGTAAAGTTGGAAGTTAATGTATTAAGTTACATTTTTGGTAGTTGTAACACCACTTTAGAAATTAGAAATTTAGAAATTAAAGTAGTTTCTTTTAATATTTATATAATATAATAGCAACGTATGCCTATTAATTTTATAGAAGAGCGGTGTTTTCTGACACAAGCCCTATCAAGGTTAAAATGAAATCAGTCTCTGAATTATGCCATGCAAAATGAACAAATAAAACATTTTATTTTTTTAAGTTGACTGTTTGGTGACTGACTTTCTGTGTACATGAAATATGTCATAATCTACACATATGGTAAATTTGGGTATTTGCAGAAACATTGTTTTTATTATTAAAAACTTGAGCAACAAATAATTGAGGTACACAGACTAAACGAGTTGGTACCTTTATCCAAATTCTGTCTAGTAATATGTGACCTAATCTGCCATTTACATTTACAAGTCTCTAGCAATTCTAAGGCGGGCTAGAGTTTGTAAACTAAACTTATTGAGTCGGTTTTCATAACCTAACAATTTGTGCCTTAATCCTAGTCTACTACAAAGCGTATTACAATTTGAATAAGTATAAAACACTATACGTTCTGGAGAAATACCCAATTGAAAAGTTTCAATGTTTGATTTTCTAGACAAAAACTGAACGGATTTCTTTTTTTTAATAATATTAAGTGCGGGGACGGACAAGTCGTGCGCCTGACGGTAAGCTACACGTCTGTCCATAACAGTTGCAGTGCTACTCAGAGCTTTAAATCGCAAATATCTGAGGGGCACTGCCACTGCGCCCATCATCCTGAGACATAAGTTGACAAACCCCATGTGCCTGTAATTTCACCGGCATCCTTACTAGAGATGCCACGAATAGTGATTTGGCCGAATACCGAATACCGAATATTCTACCACGCTCTCGGCCGAAGCACCGAATTTTCGGCGTAAGATCCATGCATTTCACGCGCCACCTGTTACGACCTGTCTCATTGCGCTGCGTGCGGAGGTAACGCGAGTTTGTTGAGAAATTGTAAAACGATAGAATTAACACATGACAGTTTCTGGACCTGTTTTGAAGAAGTCGCTACAGATAATATGCAAAATGATGGGGATGCGGGAAAAGTTCTATTGCGTATGAGATTAATTTTTATTTGAAAACTGTTCGCCTAAATCGGACGGCAGAGCCTTACAAGTGGTGGTCAGCAAACGCGAAGCAGTACCCAAGCCTGTCAAAATTTGCTAAGATTTATCCATCGTCTCCTGGCAGTAGTGTTTATAGTGAGAGGCTTTTTTCAGAGGCAGGAATTGTTTATGAGGAAAAGCGTGATCGTTTGTTACCAACCAATGCTGAAAAGATTCATTCATCACAACCTGCCACTGATTGATTTTAAGCATTAAAGCAATAATTTGTGATTAAAATACATGATTGCATTTTAAATAGTATGTGCTATTTTTCATTATTTCATGTATTCGGCCGAATAGTCGTAGTATTCGGCCAAATACCAAACATTAAAAAAAGTGGCCGTGTAGGCCGAATACCGAATAGTAGCCGAATATTCGTGGCATCTCTAATCCTTACCCTTCCAAACCGGAACACAGTAATGCTGACATTACTGCTTGGCGGCATTACTACTCTGGATGAACTCTTTCACAAGGACTTATTTCAGAGGAGAACAATAAATTCAAAAGCTAAGTCAACATTCAATAGGTGCATTATAAGTAACATTAAATAAGGTCATATAATACAGATCAATATTTCGATGTAACAGTGTTTTGTGTACGCAGTAAACGTGTTATTTATTAATGCTAATTACTTGCCTGTAGGCCGAGATAATCTACGGGTCATTGAGTCGAAGCAGTTAGTTTAACGGGTATAAAATTCAGTTTATTTTATTGATCAAATAACATGAAGGTTTGGTTTAAGTCAGTGATGGGAAGATACGCATTGATTTGTATGTAGTGTTTGATTGTTGCCATGTTCCTATGGGGGTAGCATATATTCTATTGGAGTTTATTCGCAAAGATTCGAGAGAAAAGAAAGATGCCTTGACTTTTTTTTGAAGGTTGATCGGTCGAAACGGAAACGGTATGTAGCTACAACGCTTGAACTTTGAAGTCACGAACAAAGTTGGGGTTTCTTTGTAACGCTTGATTTCTGAGTCCTATTTTACTGTTTAAAGAATTTCGAAACTGTTTCTAAATTGCACTGTTCAAAGCGTGCTTGACGTTCTGGATTTTGGATCGTTCTTATCGCAACCGGCATAAAGTAGAATTTAATAAAAATAAAAGTAGATCGATTTCTTAGGTTTTCGTGATTATTACACATTGGAAATAGAGAACATTATTTCCGATGTAAATTTATTTTTCAAACAAACCAATATTACGGGCTCTATACGGGTCCTATGACCATGGCTAATAAAGGTTTTATTTTATTTTTTCCGGGAAAAAGCCTATTTTACAACCAACTTCATAAAACGAGGAGGTTCTCAATTCCACTGTATGTTTTTTTTCGAACCGATTTTCATAATTCTTTTTTGTTGGATAGAGGGTAACTCCATAGTGGTCCCATTTAATTTTGAAGAAAATCATTATGATATAAAGTGACGTCACGACAAGTATGTCTATAACAGTTGCAAAGAAATTCAGAGCTTTACATCGTAAATATCTGAAGGATACTGCCACTGCACCCTGAGACATAAAATTGACAAGTCCCATATGCCTGTAGTTTCACCAGCACCCATACATGCCCTTCAAAACTGGAACACAGTGTGGCCGTTTTGCTGGCACCGCCCAAGCATGTCCTGTATGCTGCAGTGTAACCTCGAGAGCCCTGTTGGTATCCTTGATTTGTCATTCCTTGAGGTATCAGGAACTGTTTACGGAAGCTTCGACATTTTGGACTTAAAAGTTAGAAAAGTAAGAGTGACGAAGAAAAGGAATTAAAGAACGATTCGCAATTTCAAAATAGATGGCCGGGAACCAGAAAAAAAGGATGATAAAGAGGTGGGATGATGACGAAAGATCGCATCGTCACAACAGTAACGCTCACATTACTGCATTACGGCAAAAATAGGTAGTAAAATTAATTAATAATAAAATTTGTTTATATATTTAAACATAATAACACTGTCTTTACAGAACTTTCCTAATTCAACGTTTAGAAATAACACAAAGAATGTACAATATCACCTCAAATTCCAACAATGATCATACAAATATATCGACCTCTACCGAAACTACTTTTATTAATTATTCTGATAGTCCTTGTACAGATATTTGTACGAAGTCTGCGTCCATTTTATTTACAGTGTGCTTCACGGTAAATGGAATTTACTTGACTTGCTCCTGACCATTTACCACAAAAACTCTATTGTTTACTATTAGCATTTTTTCTCCAATTCAGGCAAATACCTCTTTATTTATTTAACCTTTTGACTGTTATAAAGGTTATTTATTGACAATCAAATAATCAATAGTCATTGCGGATAGATCAAGAGGCAATGTTATTGATAAAGAATTCCATTAATGCAAGTCAACATTATATATTATTATAATATTATTTTTCCTTATACGTATAGAATAGATAATTATATAGAAATAGAGATTTTAATAGAGCTCTTCTCGTCCATTACTGCGTTCCGAT